GGTTTAGGGGTTAGGGTTTAGGAGCTTCAGGGTTTCAGTCGGGTTGTGGGTGTTAGCTTCGGATTGAGGATTCGGCTCTAGGGTTTCAGTACACGTGGCTGGGAAAAGTCTCCGTCGAGTCTAGGAGGTTTGAATGCTGTTGCTGCAACTTACGATGATACATGGTTTAGGGTTTAGGGTTTAGGGTTTAGAGTTCAGAGTTTAGGGTTTAGAAATTGAATGTTTTTCCTACAAACTACCATGGCATATAGCTGCAAGGGGGCTTATCTTTGTCCGAGCCCGAGTTCTGGTTACTTGCAGATCTTCAAGAGGGAATCCGTGCATTGACTGAGGAGGGTGAGGGCTCCCTGTCTAAACCCCGAAACCCCTAAACCCTAAACCCCAAACCCCTAAACGCTAAACCCGAACCCATTGAAAGCCCTAAGCCCTCCGCGGCCCTAAGCCCTGGGCATGGTTTAGGGTTTAGGGTTTAGGGGTTTAGGGTTTATGGGATGCTATACTGCGCTCCCCAAATTCTCGGAAACTCCCAGGTTAGTCTTGGCTTCAGAGTAGTTCCAGTGGGCAGGCTAGCAAGTCGACCCAGGATGAGTTCTTGGAGTTCAGTGTTGCAGAAGTCTTCATGACATGCCCCAGGTCAGTGACCGGGCATGTCAACCCCAAAGAACTTGAGGGCTCAGCACTCAGGGCTTGTCTTCTGAGTTTGGGGAAAGTTCTCTTAACCCCAAACCCTAAACTCTTATGGAGTCTTACAAAGTTTGGGGAGGAGAGGACGCTCTGCGGAGTGTAAAGGCCACGCAATCAAAACAAGATCTGGGGGTTTGGGGCCCAGCATTCAGGGTTTAGGGTTTAGGGCTTAAGTGAAATGCAAGATGCAGAATGCAAGGTTTAGGGCTTAGGGTTAGCGGTTAGCGGAACCCTTCACCGTCGATTCTCCAAGTCGATGTGCGGGTCTACGTACGTCCAACAAGCATGCCCGGCTAGAATCCTGCCTCACATCGTAGACGATGCGGACAACGTGGGTTCCCTCTTGGAGGACCGGGATGTCGTCCGTGTAGGCCTTGACTGCGGCTTCTCTTAGTCTCTGGTTGAAATTTGTTGAGCAATTGGGGTTTGGGGTTCCGGGTTCAGGGCTTCCAAAACGATACAGTATCTTATTCGTTCAATTCATCGAGGCATTTTGTCGACTGCGTCGCATCTGCTCCGTCAGAGAAGAAAAGCTGCCGTGGTGCTTGACGGGATTTGGGGCTCGCGCATCGTGCCTTGGGGGTGTTAGGGTCTTGGGGATTGGGTGTAAGCCCCGAAGCCCCTAAACCCCTAAACCTCCCGAAACCCCGAAACCCCTAAACCCTAAACCGCTAAACTTTAAACCCTTTAAAACATTTGGGTTGCAGAATTTCGGGTGTAGGGTTGGTACAAGTAGTCGCAGACAAGCAGCGATGGAAGAAGTGGAATGGTCGGCGCTGTTGGGCTCGCCTAGCACAAGGCAGAGATAGGGCTTCGGGTTTAGGGTTGAGGGCGCAGGGTTTAGGGTTTAGGGGGTTAGGGTCTAAAATTCCGAGCTTGGGAATTATTGTGAGCAATGTGAGGTTGTAAGGCTGGAGGTTTACTAGTTGGAGTGCTGAGCTCTTCCAAGACTTTACAGTGACTTGCTGAGACCTCCTTTGAGCTCAGCTTACTGCTGCCTGAACCCTAAACCCTAAACCCTAAACCCTAAACCCTAAACCCTAAACCCCTAAACCCTAAACCCTAAACCCTAAACCCGAAACCACCTCAAGGCTCAACCTTCCACCCTCAAGCCCACGCCCGAGCAGTGCGAGGGTTTAGGGTTTCGGGTTTAAGGCGTCATGCGCCGAGGAAATAGCATTTCCATACGGTTTAGGGTTTAGGGTTTGTTACCATAGAGGGCTGAGTCATTAGTAGCAATCACGGCCCTATCAATCCTACACTCGGTGTTTAGGGCTCAGCTCTTCTTTTCTGTAGCTTTAGGGATCGAGGATAGCAAATGCTGGCCAGCGCTGGAGATGTCCTTTAATCAAGGTCCTATTTGCAACGAGCCCTAAACCCTAGACTCTAAACAACCACCCTTTGCAGGAACCACGAATTAAACCGGATCGTCGCTCGTATTTCAGGGCTCAGCGAACTTAGTAAGCAGTGCAATAATTGGGAATAGGGTCTAGGGGGCCTCATATAACACAACATGATATACTCACAATAAGGGAGTTGAGTTATGATATTGGTAATGAGTCTGCATTCACCGTGGGTTATACTCATTATCACCTTGCTTTCTGTACTCGTAACCTTACTTACAAAGTCCCCTGGGCCCGCAAGAGTTTGTGGCTGTGGCTTTCGGGAACCATCGGGGTTGCGGGGGGTTCGGGGGTTTGGAATTTGGGAGGCTTTAAAGTTTCCGGTGTGCCTTTTCTGAGCAGGGAGCTACCGGTGTGCCTTGCCCTGAAAAGTGAGCCCCACACCCTAAACCCTATAAATTCTATAGAAAAACCCTGAACCGGAAACCCAACAAACCCCAAGGTTAAAAACCATAGACCGTGTAGCACCGGCAGAGGCCTGCTTCTTAGGCAGGAGCCTCCGAAGAAACTCGACCCCTGCAAACTCTACACCACAGGAACATCATATGCGGACTAGACTCGAAAATTATGCCAGACCCCACCCGAATCCAGCTTAAAGGGAGCAGAAAGGATTTCACCGTGTTGGGCCTTTACGCGGAGGCACCTGCACCTGCAGAGAGTGCTTGGGCTTAGTCTTTCTGCAGTTAATTGGGTTTAGGGTCTGGCATCTGGGTTTTAGTGCTTGGGGCTCGATTGGGGTTTATAGGATTCCTGTCCGCTGTTGGGTCCATCTTTAGGGTTTAGCGTCTTGGGTTTAGGGTTTGGATTTAGCGTTTATAGGATTTCATTCTGGAACAAGCACCAAAGCTGGACCGCTGTCGGTCACGGTCACGTAGAGTTGCATCATTGAGGCCTGAATAAGTTGTGTTGCAGGTCAACCTTAATCCTACACACTAAACCTTGAACTTTGAACGCCACAAATTTAAAAAACAACTGAACAAAACTTATACACTGAACCTCCAACCCTTAACCCTGCACCCTCAGCAAAGATGAAGATTTCCTGTGCGAAGAACTTGGCTCTTCTGGGGAGAACAGTCGAAGAATCAGTTTGTCGAAGGGCAAAGGCAGAAGGTGATTTGCTAGGGTGTTGGGTTTAGGGTTTAGGGTTTAGGGGGTTTAGTCTTGATTTTCAGATCCCTGTAGTTATTATATTGTAATCCCTGTACTACTTGGAGGCCCGGGGACTTAGTAAGTTTATAAGTAGAGTTATAAGTACCCTAACTGGAGTTATCCCAATTATAAAGCCACTTCTAACCGACTTACTAAGTCCCCTGGGCCTCCAAGTATTCACCACGGCTCTACTCTATCCGGCAGTCTCAAAGCTGGGAAAGAAGGAAAGCCAGCAGAAATCATCCTGCGACCTGTGTTCCAACTTGTTTGGACTTCTACTTGGAGGTTCATGGAACTTAATATGTACAGTTATAAGTACCTTAATTGGGGTTATAAGTAGTTATATGTATAGTTACCTTATTTATAACCCTAGTTACTAAGTCCATGAACCTCCAAGTACTAAGTACTGCAAGAAGCTTCTCGGCTTTAGTCAGGGCTTAGGGACCTGATCCTGATTGACTACTCGGATAAAGACACGTAAGCTAGCAAGGAGAGTGAAGAGGGAAGGTTCATGCTTACAAGATTCTGCTTTCTTTCCACACTTTCTTTAGGAATTTTGCAAGGACGACGCAAAGGCAAGCAAGAAGTGTCGCCCCTGAACCCTGAACCCACCTGTCGAGCGTCGGACCCTTCAAGTACATCGGACCACGTTGTATTGGGTTTAGGGTTTAGGGTTCAGGGGTTCAGGGTTTAGGGTTTAGGGTTTAGGGTAGGTGTGTGGCCAGTATGTTTGCAGGACTGTGAAAGTAATTTAGCAATTACCCCGTAAGCTGTTGGCAGGTATGCAGTTGTTCAGAGAGCCACCGACTAAACAAACCCACAGCCAAAACCTCTAAACCCTGTCTACACCCTGCCGCTCAAATCATACTGTTGATGGACAAAATTCTGCATGACCCAAATATAGCATAGTACCATAAATCCCATAGTTTAGCTACATATAGTCATGCAGGATTTTGTCCATCACCCGTACGAACTCTCTCCTGGTGAGGTTGGCCAAGGCACACTGATGTGGTTTGACGTGAGCTCGCCCAAGTCCGGGTTCCGGAACATGTCAAACTCGATGGCGAGACCTGGGCACGTGAATGCTCTTGGTTCGTGGCAAGTCGGGCTCTAGCTGGAAGTACCTTACTCGAGCCTCCAAACACGACTAGTTTCAGCTTACACCCCAACACCGCAAAATCATTTTGTCATACTGCTGATAAGTACCCATGAGGCTGGCATCTACCCCCATATGCCCGAGCTCGGCCCAAATGGCATCACAGGGCAGAGGGACGCAGTAAGTAGGCTACCAGGGCTTCTGCATGGCGTCTTATGTGCGCAAGGGAGACATGGGGAACTCTACTCTGGGCGCTCGAAACTCGGCGGAAAACCAAACCTGAATGAACGCACAACCTTAGAGGCTGAGTACCCTAGCCCAAAAAAGGTTAACTTTTTGAGTCATAGTAGGATTATAAGAGCCCCAAAAGCAAAAAGGTTAAAGGTTACCTACTCAGCCACTAAGCAACTTTGAGCACTAAAGACTCTCAACCCAACAAGTCGGAAAGGGCGCTTAAGGCCCTGCAGGTCTCCTCTGTCAAATGTGATATACTGTTGATGGACAAACTTCTGCAAGACCCAAATATAGTATAGCACCATAAGTCCCATAGTTTAGGTGTATAGGGTCATGCAGGATTTTGTCCATCAACCGTATGGCCCTTGATGACTAGAACAAGGTCTTGTTGTACGTAACATTACAGTCGGTCGAAGGCTTTAGAGTTTGCTGCCATGAGCAAGCCCCAGGAATCGTAGTAGTCATTCTTCAGGCGTCTATGTTACGGCAAATATACACTGCGAGTCTCGTTTAGAACGGATTTCCATGCTGATTGTTGGGGCAAAAGGAAGGCATAACTCTACAGTGACATAGGGTTTAGGGTTTAGGGTAGCAGGGCCTTCAAGCGGAGGTGTAAGGGCGCTGATTGTTGGGGTTTATGTAGGCTGGTTAATAACGCCCCTTTTTGCTCTTCAAGCCCTGCACTTAAGGATCCCCATTGCATCGAATCTCCTAGCCTTGTGGCAGGTCGTCACTGTCACGATATCTCGGGCTTAGACCTAGCGGTTCACAGTCTAGGATAACGGTTGACTTAACCCGGGACTCCGAGACCCAAACCCTAAACCCTAAATCCTAAACCCTAAACCCTAAACCCCAAACCCTAAACCCTAAACCCTAATCCTGAGACCCAAACTCTAATTTTACCGAGTATCTGTAGCGGAAGCCGTAGCCGTTTCCAGAAATATCGTTGCCTCGGCTGGTCTTTACCCACGGCTCCGACATGTCTGGAATGCAGCAATCCTTATAACACAGGCATACATCGTACATGTTCATAGGAGAATTGGGATTTAGGGTGTAGGATTTAAGGTATGTTTTCTGAGCAAAAGGATATGTAAATAAAGTTTGTGCACAGCCGAAGTGTCTCTTTCAGGCTTTCAGGGCTCGAATTGTGGAGCCAAAACCGTTTGTGCTAAGGCCCTACACCCTACTGGCCCTACTTGCGGCCTTCAGGCATAGAGACCCTTGCAAAAAGAGGAAATTCACCTAATCAATGCTGACTTCTCTCAACTACTCCCAGCACCTCAACACGTTAGGGTCCAGTTATCTACCCAGATCTTCCCAAATCCATGAATCAGGCTACCGTAAATTGTATTCGGGGTCAGACAATAACAACCCTAAACCCTAAACCGCAGGAAGATCTGGGCACTGTTCTACCGACAAGGCGAGCTCTTAGAGTTTTTAGAAGACCAGTCATGAAATAGGCCTACCCTAAACCCCAAAACCCTAATGGTCGACCGACGTGCAAAACCCCACGAGCCTTCACCCTACCTACTATTAAACTCCATGTTTGAACTCCTTTTCTTGTTTATCTCGTTTCGTTCTTCAGGGCTCCTGAGTCCTAACCATGACATCAAACAACACCAAGAAACTACCTCGGAGGGGGTTTTGCCAAGCTTTCGAAGCCTGCGACCCCAAACACCTAGCACAGGGAGACCCAGGAGCAATTAAAGACAGTGCAAGGCCACCGAAATTCCGAACCCAAATCCTGAATGGACCTTACAGCTGTGCGCCTGAAACCCGAAGACACATGAAAGCCCCACCCGGAATCCTTTTATCTCGAAGCCCAAGCCCCAAAAGTGCGGCACAGGCCAGCTCGCCGGATCCAAAATCTGCACATTGACCAGCGAACACTCTTGACACTCAAAGCCCACCCTAAGCCTCACCAGCAGAACGAATGACAGGGGTCTTGCTAAGGGATGTAATGTAAGTTACCACAACAAAGAAAGCATATTATTTACTATAGATCCCTATATTGCATGAAACCCCTGAACAAAAACCCAGATGAGGGTTCTGAGACTCCCATAACCTTCTCCCCCTAAACCCTAAGCCCCAAACCCTAAACCAAACCCGAAAGCTTTGCACCCGAGAGTGGAATCCCTACACCCTGACACCCCAAGCCCAGAGACTCCAATATCCCTTGATTAAGGAATATACCTTAAATCACATTAAGGATCCTACTATAATTTAAGGAATATTCCTTAATGAGGGGATATTGGAGTCTCTGGGAAGCCCTAACCGTTAAACCCTGAAAGCCCTGCCTCCCAGGCCCCTGTACTACGAAGGGAGTGGGGAGAAGAAGTCGTGGGTTTAGGGCTTAGGGTTGTGGGTTTGAGGTTAGGACGCGGTAAAGCCTGCAGGGGACCAGAAATTGTGTGAAAGTTTGGGGAATGGTGGTTGATGATTCGTTCGGATTGGGTATGTTGCGGGCTGGATGGCCTTAATAGCCTTAATAATTAGAATATGGTTTTCGGGTCCTTCATACTATATTTATAAAAAGGAGCCCTCAAAACCCTATTCTCATTATTCAGGCGCCTACATTAGGCATTAACCTCACTGTTTGATACGGTTTGGGGAGCTTGTGCCCCATAGTGTAAGCGCCTTAATAATCAGAATAGGGTTTGGGGATCCGTTATAGTCGAAATATAATAAGGAGCCCCCCATAATGATATAGGTAAATTTTTAGTTAAGGCCCCTATATTAATATGGAGCCCCCCTCATAATGATATAGGTGAGTATGAATTAAGGCCCCTAAACCCTAAACCCTAAACCCTAAACCCTAAACCCTAAACCCTTTGGCTCCAGCAACTCCAGACCCTAGAGCCTCTCGACATGGATTCGCTTAACAGATCGTACCAAAAATGTTGACAACATCGAATGTATGGGGCCTTAATAATTAGAATGGGGTTTTGGGGTAGATTATACTATAACTATATAGCAACGAACCCCCAAAATAGTGTAGGAAAGTATTAAGGCCCCTAGCATGCGTCCGTGCCGCCGACGATCTTTCGTCCTTCGTTCCTGAGCTATCAGAAGGGTTTAGGGTTTAGGATCTGGGACCCAAGGCAAGAAGCCGCTGAGGGGATCGTGGATTTTTTCAGCGAGGAAGAATGCAGCATGCACCCCGTAAAAGCCCGCCCCAACTTTGATAACCTCAAACCCCCACACTAAGAAAATCTGCTGTGCACAAGACTAGGCTTCAATTGATCCTCACAACATCTCGACCGAGAGAAATGATTCACCCGAAATATTCCGAAAAGGTTGCCACTAGACCACTAACATGAAATCCGTCCTTGAAACGCCCAAACCGTCAAAAGCGCCTTTAATCCAAATCTGGACCCTACACCTGTGGAACCCTGATGAATTCTATACCTTGAAGTTCTGAAAACTAGACAGCAGGCCTTACATCCCAAGTGGCTTACCTCCTGAACACAAGATCAGACTTTCCGCCCACCCGTGTAAGCATGCATGCACTATGCAGGCGTGCAGGCATGCATGCACGTTTGCATGCTGATGTATTCGTGTGTATGCACATCTACCAGAAATCCGGGAATCATGCTCAAGAGTCTAGAGAGTCGCAAAACCCAAGCCGCTAAGGCAGTGAGCCAAGTCGCTGTATGACGAAGGCGAAGCCATCGGCACCCGCCGGCTCGCACCACTCGCCTACCCAACACTCCTGGCCGCAGTTTGGGGGTTAGGATTTCGGGTACTTGGAGGCTCATGGGACTTCATAAGTACAGTTATACGTACCTTAACTGGGCTTATATAGTTACATTATTTATAACTCGAGTTACTAAGTCCCATGAACCTTTGAGTACAAGGTGTTGGTAGTGCCTGGTAGTGCAGGTTGGGGGCTTAAAGAACACTCGTGACCAGCGGATTGGAGTTTCGGCCCCCTACACACAGATTCCAGAGCCTCCCTAACTTCACATCATGCCTAAATACGAGGGGTTTCAAGCATCTCAAAGCCGTGCACTTCGAACCAGAACTTCAAGACGGAAACCACTCCGAGATACTCGAAGCCCTGCAGCCAACACTCAAACCCTAAAGCCCGTGAGCTCTTAAGGCGAAGTGCGTTCACGCAGCCCCCAAAGCAGGGCAGGTGGAAAGAAAGCCTTGTGCTGGTTTGGGGTTGGGACGGGGACGAAGGTTTAAGTCTTGCGGCTCCCTAGATGCCATAGCGGTTTCGATGGGATTCGGGGAACAGGGCATGTTTTGGCTTGTCCCCCCGCCGGCCACTCCCCACCCCCCACACCTCGTCTGCAGTCTTTGGGTTGGGGGCTTGGGGTTTAGGGTTTAGGGTTTAGGGTTTAGGGTTTAGGGTTTAGGGATTTTTCCATGTACCTCACACCCCCATGTACGGGAGTTGCAATCAGAACTAGGCTTTGGATATGTTGTAGTACAGTAAACCCAGGGACAACAAGGGGATACGTCTAATTACTCCGACCCCTAAACTAGATCCCAAATCTCAAGGCCAATGGACCTAAACCCTACACCCCAAAACCTAAACCCTCGCAAAGCTACAGGACCCAAACCATTCCCCTTACCCGTGTCCTTGGTGCGGTGGTAGACCTTGAAGTGGAACTCGGTCCTTATCCAATCTTTTTTGAAGGGGCGCGAGGGGCTTGAGAGCGCCGGGGTGGGGGAGTCGTCGTCGTCGTAGTAGTAGTGGCAGAAGCAGCAGCAGCAGCAGCAGCAGCAGCAGCAGCAGCAGCAGCAGTAGTAGTAGGTAGCAGGCGTAGTAGGACTAGTAGCCGTAATAACAGCAGTAGCAGCTGCAGTAGCTGCAGTAGCGGGAACGTATGCTGAGCTGCTCCAGAAGCTGAGCTTCCGCGGAGAGACAATAGCGGCATTCTTCGCAGGAGCTGACGCTCATGCAACACTCAGGCAAGTACATGCAAGCCCCCGCCGCTTAAGAACAAACCCTCTAAGCCCTACGTCAGCCCTAAACCCTAAACCCGAACCCTATGGGCCTATAAGCCCTAAACCCTCAATCCTAAAGGCCCAAAAGCCCTAAACCCTACAAGCCCTAAGCCCTAAACCCTACCAGCCCTAAACCCTAAACCCTATCAGCCCTAAACCCTAAACCCTATCAGCCCGTAACCCTAAACCTATCAGTCCTAGACCCTCAACCCTATAAGCCCTAAGCCCTAAACCCTAAACCAGCCCTAAACCCTAAACCCCAAACCCTAAGCCCCAAACCCTAAACTCTAAACCCTAAACCCCAAACCCTAAACCCTATATGCCCCAGACCCTAAACCCTAAACCCCAAACCCTAAGCCCCAAACCCTAAACTCTAAACCCTAAACCCTAAACCCTAAACGCAAAACTCTCCTACAAAAGAGCCCAGGCGCTCGAAGCCGTAGGACACGAGCTGCTTGAAGCGACTCCAGGCCGCAGAGTTCTGTGCGCTCCTTTAAAGGGGGGGGCTCCTCGGGGTTTAGGGTTTGGGGTTTGTTTTTACCCCAGAACCCTAAACCCTAAACCCTAAACCCGAACCCTAGAACCCTAAACCCTAGAACCCTAAACCCTAAACTTTAAACCCTAAACCCTAAAGGTTTGGGGTTTAGGTTTTAGGGATTAGGGTTTAGGTTTCGGGTTTTTGAGTTTAGTCTTTGGAGTTTGGGGTCCTCCACGAGATTTCCTTCAAGGGTTCGTTTACACGGTTTGGTTGGGGTTTAGGGTTTGGGGCTTCAGGGCTTTGGGGTTTAGAGTTGTCGGGCTTGATTGGAAACTGGGGCTCCTTTGTCCAGCATGCTTTCTGCTGTCGTTTCGGGGCCGTTTGAGGCCTCGGGTTTCTTAAGGGCTATTTGGTTTTCGAGGTTTGCGCGTTGGGGGCCTAGTGTTAACGTAGGATTTGGCTTCGAGAACTGGGGCTGCGTTGTGAGGCAGCGCCGTTGCGGCTGCTGCTTCTACTCCTGCCACTCCTCCACAGCCTCCTCCGACTAATGCGCGTACGACCTCTACGCTACCACCACCACCACCACCACCACCACCTCACAAATCGATGTCGACAGCGCGCTCCTGCTCTGTCTATCATGCTACAGCAACCACCTGGTTTTCTCGCATTACCTGCCCTATTTCATCGGACTCCACCTGGTTGACATACTCACGGCACAGTCGGAGAGAGGCTCGCGAGCGCGTAGAGTCTACTCAAAGGGTCAGCTTAAAGGACCAGCGGGCTTAGCAAGTAGATTTTATTGGTGTGAGGGGGTTTATACATGCCCTGCTTGGCTTACAGTGCTTATAGCTTTCTTCATAGCTTTACAAGATCCCCTGACCTGCACACACCCCCCGGCAGGCATGAAGCAGACTTGTGCATCAACGTATGTGGTTTGGCCTGAGGTTTAGGGTTTAGGGTTTAGGGCCTTCGGGTTTAGGGTTTAAGTAGCTTAAACCCTAAACCCTAAAGCCTAAACCCTAAACCACAGGCAAGGTCCCAAACGAGGCCAGTTTACTGACAAGCTGAGGCAGTGGCAATGGCTGCGTCAGCCGTAGAGCATAGTGGCAGAGCCTTACGCTTTTTGGATTACCATAAAGCCCCTTGAAGTCTTAAAGCCCCAAGCGGTTTAGGGTTTAGGGTTTAGGGTTTAGGGCAAAGCTAATATAATGCTAACGGAGAAGCCCAATGCATCGGGTGTACGGCTTAGTGATTTTGGGTTTTTTCAATGGGCTGAAGGTCTTTAGGGCAGGCGGCTGGCATCCCCAAAACCAGAACCACCCCACCGCGAGGTGCTGGAGGGTAGCGAGGGTAGCTCCAGGCAGCCCTTCGACAGATGCTTTGTCTGACTGATGACTTCTAGTGTGTGGGGACTGAAGGACTGTTGCTAGATAAAACCCACGATCCCGAAACCTGTTTTGCAACACCGAACATAAAGTGTCTGAAACCAACTCCTCGTGCCTGGCGAAAGCTTCTGCGGAGTCAAAGATATGCATTCCGACCCCGTAAGTTGTTGTCTTGAACCCCCTTGGCTGGCGACTGGGTCCGCGTATGGGGCAGTGGAAGGAGGTCGCCATCAGGGATAAACTCCTGTGCAGGTGCCCATGATTGCCTCAAACCTTCGAGCCTTCACCCGTAGTGGCAAACTGAATTCTTCCGAAAACTTCGGACAATCATGGAATGGAACGGAATGGAATGGAACGGATTGCAGTCACAACAATCAGAAGCACAACAAAAAACACCAACAACACCGCATTTTTCTGGTGCTAAATTGCTGTGCTCATGATTATGCTTTTCTGGTGCTGAACTTTGTGCTCATGATTGTGGTTTTTCTGGTGCTAAAGGTTGCTATAGATTTAACCCACTAACCTTCAAATCCTGGTGCTCATTTCTGCCTGTGTGATATGTACGGATTTTGTTTAAATGTTAGTCGGGGCGACGGCATATGAAGAGACATGGCCCGGAACTCGAATACTGCGGGATCACGAAAACTATAGACAAGGAATCAGGGGAATTTCAATTGATGTAGTTAGCAGAACAACAAGGTAACAACGACAGAAGAATCCCAACCCTGACCGCTAGTTAGATATTTCGAGGATAAGGATGCTTCAGAAGACCACAAGGGCAGCAAGGCAAATAACATTGACATTACAAAATTGAGAACACAGATGTTGAAGGTGAAGGGCTTAAGGCCTAGAGCCAGGGTGTAAGCTGTAACTAAACTGACCCAGATTGTAAGGCTTGAAAGAATATTAGGGTTTAGGGTTTAGGGTTTAGGGTTTAGGGTTTAGGAGGCTCTGGCTCTATTCTTATTATCAGGACATGTGGCAATCCTTTTGCGGTGGGCCGGGCGAATTCGAATACGTGCAGGGTGCCATTGACCGAGAAGGGAATTTCAAAATATGCGGACCTATAGGCCCTATATGGCCCTTGTATAATAAGCCGCCAAACAATCGACTACTGATTATAAGGACCCCAAGTAAGGTATCCTGCGTTCTGAAACCCCCCAATTGCTATATCTATTTATGAATGAGACTAGGACCACGAGAGTCCGTCCAAAACTGAGCTATCACGATTGCGGGAGTCACTATTTGACACGATAGGCATTGAGCGTATGAAGGCTGCCGTGAACTGCTGAAGCTAGGCTCCTTCCTGCATGGAAGACTTAACAAAAACCGTCCGCCTTCGGAAGTTAACGCTTAGGGCTTGCGGTCTCAGCATGTCCAGAGTTTAGGGTTGGGAGCTTCAAGTGGCTTAGGGTTTAGGGTCTAAGGTTTAGGGTGGTCCCTCGTGAACCTGATAGCCTAAGTTGCCCTGTAGGGGCCATAGTAATTAGAATAGGGTTTTGGGGTATAGTGTGCCATTATTATGCTAAGGAAACCCCAAAATAGCATAGGTAATTATTGCGGCCCCTAGATTAGTTGTTGGCCTTACCATGGTCGCCCCTTAACAAGAGCCCAGCATATAGGTCATGAGGGATTTCGTGCATGTGGGCTTCGGCCTTTGTTGGGGCCAAGATGCTTGAATACAAGTGTCTCGGCCCAATACGCCATAGCCGGATGAGTTGACACCTACATTGGAGCCGCTTAGAGGATTTTGTCCATCAACAACAGAAGCGACGGCGTGTTGTCCCTGTAGCAACAATCTACAAGCTGCTGAAAAAATGCAAGGCTCTAAGGAAATTTACAGCCCGAAAACCCTGTATATTGACAACCCTCAACCCCAAACCCGAAACCCTAAACCCTCAACCCTAAATCCCAAACCCTATAAACACTAAATCCACATCCCGCAACCCCAAACCCTAAACCCTCAACCCGAAACCCTAAATCCCAAACCCTAAGCACATTCATATATGGGCCTTAATAATTAGAATGGGTTTTGGGAGTATAGTATATTCTAACTATAATAAGGAAACCCCAAAAACCTATTCTAATTATTAAGGCCCTACATTACGACCCGACGAGTCCCATCTTTCGGTCTCCCCCAACAGGAAGATCGGCCTTGGTCCTCACAACTTGAGTGTAGTTCCCAGATGACACGCGCCCGGCGAAGGGGTCGTCGAGTTGGCCGTCCGTTAGATAAACGTGCTCCTGAACAGCGCGGTGTCCGGTTTAGGGTTTGTTTAAGGTTTAGGGTTTAGGGTTTAGGGTTAAAGGGTTTTGGGGTTTGGGGTTTGGGCTTAAGGGGTTTGGGGTTTAGGGTTTGGGGTGAGGTCTTCTGTGACGTCTAGCAGCCTTACCATCATCAGAATAAAACACCGTTCTAAAACTTTACAGGACCCTGAAACCGGAAACCGGAGCTCAAATCAAGAGCCCTTGAACCCCTCCTAAACTCAAGCACACCTACATTTGTCGCTCTGAAATCGCGCAGCTGGGTGTGGGTAACTTTTACCGTAGGCCTAGGGTTCTAGCTTGGAGTTTGGCCGCCTGAAGCCTAGGGTTCAAAGGTTCAGGATTTGCGTCTTCAACTTTCCGCAAATAAGTGGCATTGTGGGGTATGGCAAACTCCCCCAAGTTGAAAGCCTCATGCCCGGCAGCTTAAGGTACCAGCAGGTGGACCAGCAACCCCTCCTAACTCCTAATCAACCTAAACCCTAAACCCTAAACTTAAACCCTCGCCTGGTCTACAAAGTTGATGTAGCTAACCCCCCACACCCCCTAGACCCTAAACCTCTAAGCCCCTAAACCCCTAAACCTCTAAACCCCTAAACTTCTGAACCCCCTAAAACCCTACACCCCCTAGACCCAAAATGGGTTTAGGGTTTGGGGGAGGTTCCTAGGTTCAGGGGTCAGGGTTTAGGGCTTATTATAACGGTTGTATACTGGGCCCCAAAACCTTATTCTAATTTTTAAGGCCTCTATGTTACTCTGCACGTGCATATAACGACATGAAATCTTTCGCCCTAACACACCACAGCTGCCCAGATCTTCCAAAAACCCACGATTAAGGAATCGACTAATACCCTCAATCATCATGCGGCTTCTGACAGCTTAGGACTTCCTAGGTTTCGGGTTTAGGGCTCAGGCATTTAGAGAATACCCAGATCTTCTAAAAACCCCGTACTTCAGGAATATACCCTAACACCCGACAGCTGCCCAGAGAAACCTGAAAGGAACACGACAAAAGAGCGACCAAAAGAACCCTGAAACGACCTCAAGACAAGTAAAAGCTTGGAGACCCGTGTTCCCAGAACTTCTTGGACCCTTATTAAGCAATATACCCTAAATCATACTAGGCATCCTTTTACATTTTAAGGTGTGTTCCTTAATTACGGGATTTGGGAAGATACTCACTTGGGTGTACCGTGGCCTTGCACCAAACGAAGCAAAAAACCCTAAACCCTAAACATCCCTAAACCCTCAGCCCTAAAAGGCTGCGAGCCAGGAAGCCGGTAGGTCAGCTCTTTGGTTGTCCGACACCGTTCGAACCTTGCAAGCATAGGGTTTCGGGCCTAGGGTTTAGGGTTTAAGGTTTATAAACCCTAAACCCTAATTAAACCCTAAGCCCTATTTAGGGTTTGGGTTTAGGGTTTACGGTTTAGGCCCTAAGCCCTCAACCCTAATCCCCAAACCCTAGAGTTTAGGGCTGTTTAGGACGTAGGGAGGGGGGGCCCTTCGGGCTTGTAGGGTTTAGGGTATAGGGCTGCTACATAGGTTGCATGACGTAGACATGGCGAATCCTGCGAGCTTCCATTGAACCTGGCTATAAAGCGGCACAATGGATTGCTTGGGTGAACGAGGCTCGGGCTGGCAAGGGCAAAATTGAAATAGTGGAGGTTCAGGGTTTAGGGTTGTTTTGTGGTTTAGGGTTTAGAGTTTAGGGTGGGATCCTTGAACCATGTGTATTCAAGTTACGATTCTTTTTGGTTTTGGATCAAAAACATAGACCTGAGACAAAGTACCCTGCAAAGGAGGCAAACCCTGAGAGTACGTGCGGAAGCTTCCAAAGCCCCAGAATGGACGATCCTAGTCAATTGGCGCTTGGAGGATGTCTCCATCCTCAGGATCAGAACATTGTCGGATGACATCGTGTTCGATCGTACTAAGTCTGCTTGGTGTTGGAGGGGTCGTAAGGGGAGAGTTGTGCGACTAGCTGGAATCCTGAACCCGCACCCCTAAACCAAATGCGGTGTCGGATTCAGAGCAGGGACTTGTCTCCACACCTCCAATCTCTGCCGCAAGATTCTCGGAAGCAGGGCAACCCTAACTGGACGATTCCATCAGTAGAATTTGGGTGGGGGCAGTAACAGTCTTTAATAGGGCTGCTGTTAAGGGCCCTTTCTATCGATATGAAGAAGACTATTCAACTGCTACTGGGTGGGGGCAGTATCCAAAGTAGAATCTTTCCGCGAGCCTTAAACCGACCTTAATAATAAGAAGAGGGTTTGGGGGTATATTATACTATAATTACAACAAGGAGCCCCCACAACAGTAGTGGTAATTATTTAGGCCCCTACTAGACCCGAAACCCTAAACCCTTAAACCCTAAACCTAAGCCCCTACTTCGCGCCTGGGGATGCTGGAATCGCTGCGTGATGCCCTGGACGCAGCTGCCTCCCCCAGCATCGCAGCCTGACGAGTAGGCAGGGTCAGGCTCGGGAGCGGGGCCTTAATAATAGGGTTTAGGGTTTAGGGTTTATTAGAACAGGGAACCAGGAAACCCCCAAAATAGTATGGGTAGTTATTAAGGCCCTTCTATTAGCTCGTAATATAAGGCACTTCTCGAGGAGAAGAGGGATTTGGGGTAAGGAATATGATAGCTGTATGGGGACGATTTCCCTGGTAGCCTTCTCTAGAGGCCTTATGGTGCATATAAACCGTGGGGACGCAATGTTTAATAGCATCGTACATTTAAACTTGCACCATAAACCCTAAACCCTAAACCCTTACAACCAACCCAGGTACACCCTGAGCCCTCGAAATCCTGAAACTCTTGAGAGGATCATCTTGGGCCTGCTGCTCCAAACTGCAGCAGCTGAGGGTGCTGGGCTTTTGTTGTCTCTTGGGATTTCCCTAAACCCTAAACCCTAAACCCTAAACCCTAAACCCTAAACCCTAAACCTTATAAACCCTAAACCGGGTGCGTCCAGGGGTTAGGGCAGAGGGCCGAGGGTTTAAGGTGTAGGGTTTAGGGTTTATAGGGTTTAGGGTTTAGGGTTTAGGGTTTAGGGTTTAGGGTTTAGGGTTTAGGGTTTAGGATTTAGGGTTTATTGGGTTTAGCGGTCTAGGGTATAGGCTTAAATTACCCTCAACGCTTTGCAGGGCTTATAGGGTGTAGGGGTCTAGGGTGTAGGCTTTAGTTACCCTCAAAGCGTTGCACTCCACGAACCCTGAGATTCAATCCTAATTGGACCCCGTTAAAGCTCACAACACTGGGATCCTTCTTGATCCCTCTTGGAATAAACAACCACCCGCAGTATTGGGTTTAGGGTTTGGGGTTTAGGGTTTAGGGGTTTAGGGTTTAGCCCAACTAGAACCAAAGCATTCCGTGAAATTTGCTCCAAGGAATTCGCTTGAAATCCGCAAACCCTACACTTGCCAAACCCGAAACACCCACTGCATCGCCCCATGCCCCTGCCTAAGCCATACCTGAGCGGCGGGAGGTCAAAGCAAGTCTGAGCTTCCAGTATCTTAGGGTACTTAAAGGTTCATGGGACGTAGTACTTAGGGATATATATGAGGTACCTGTACTTATAACCCCAAATAGGGTACTTATAACTGTACTTATTAAGTCCCATGAACCTCCAAGTATACCAACCCCCCAACCCTCAACCCTAAACCCTAAACCCTTTAATGAAGCCTTGATGGCCTTATGGTCCTCAATAGAGGGTATATTTGGTGGTATAGTAGAGGGTAGTTGGAGGAAGGCTGAGACTTAGAGGGTACTTTAGGGCTCTGTAGGGCTTGAGGCTTCTGTAGCGGGGCTCAAACCCTAAACCCTAAACCCCTATATTCCGATTCCCCCAAAACCCATAATAAGGATGGTCTTTTGGGACTTAATTCCAGAATAGTAGTGTATACTTGGAGGGTCGGGGGACTTCGTAAGTAGTTGCTTTATAAACTTATAAGTATCACAACCCCAAGTAGGACTCCTATATCGGGTAGCTATAAGTCTACTTATTACCCACTGGGCATTCTTACCCCAAAACCCTAAACCCTAAACCCTATAAACACTAAACCCTAAACCCATAGGAAGGGCCCAAAATGGCCTCTTCAAGGCCTCTTCGGAAGGATGAGTTTAGGGTTTTAGGGTTTTAGGGTTTAGGGTTTAAGGGTTTCGGGCTTGAGGCTAAGGGTTTAAGGGTTTAGCTAGGGTTTAAGGCTTAGGGTTTAGGGTTTCGGGTTTAAGTCTAAGGGTTTAGGCTTTAGGGTTTAGGGCTTAGGGGTTTAGGGGTTCAGGATTTAGGGTTTAAGGCTAAGGGTTTCGGGTTCCGGGCTTAGGGTGTAAGGCTAAGGGTTCAGGGTTTAGGATTTAAGCCATAATTGATAAGTAAGTCTATGGGTGTCAACAGGTTTTCAGGCTTGGCGTTCAAGGTTTTGCGGTAAGACATCACGGCTTTAGGGCTTGGCTTTCAGGGTTTCGGGGCTCAGGGTTCAAGGGTTTAGGGCTTAGAGCATGTATGGCTTATAGCATCTACAGGGTTATGGGCGTTTAGGCTGATAGGATTAGGAGGATGGAGATTTCAGAGCATATGATCCAGGACCACGTGCTCAAGCTATTTTACCCAAGTTGACAAAGACCCTAAACCCTAAATCCTAAAGCCCAAACTCTCATGGAACCCACAGTCTGGAACGGGGGCGGCTTTGTGTTGTGTGTTAACAGTTGTGGAGTCGCAGTAGCTTGCGGATAAAGGTACGCAGAGAGACCGATGCCCCTGAATTGAGGAACTCAGGGCTTCGTCTTTCTTCTGCAAAGAAGGACTTAAGCCAAAGGAGTCCTCAAAGAAGGGTGTCTTCGTTTCAGAGTCCCTTAGTTGCTCAAGGGGTATCAATCGCTTACTGAGAGGCTCATGGGACTTAGTAAGTAGAGCTATAAGTACCTTAATTGGGGTTATAAGTAGTTATAAGTATTGTTACCTTATTTATAACCCTAGTTACTAAGTCCCATGAACCTTTATGTAGGTTCGAGGAGAGCTTTGGATTCCTCGAGCAACTATGGTGGTTTGGGGTCTCATCTCTCGCTTGCGGCTGCTGGAAATCACGGCGAAACTCACGCCGTCTCTTAATCACAAGAACGTGCTGCTGGAAAGCACCTTGGTAGAACCAAGATTTTGCACAGGCCCCGGCGTGCCACATCACACGAAGGACTCGCAAGCGTTGCAGTGTCTAAGGCTCTGCATCCGGTTGGCAGATCTGAAAGTTAGCGCATGCTTGGCGTAGGGTGCCACGCTAGGCAGCCAACAAACCGAGGAACTGCATGCCCGCAGCAACGACCGGTGGGTTTGTGGAGATCAAGTTCGCTGCATGGGCCAGCCAGAAAGAAGTACTGCTCTTATTCAGCAAATAATCGTAGGAATGAACCAAAGTCAATGGGTAGCCCACCAGCAACAAGGCAAGGAAGACTGGGTGAGCCAGCTTGCTGCGCCCAAGCACGCAGATCGAGGCGGCGTACCAGAAACCATAGACCAGACCCAGGCGTAAGCAGTCCCCTAGGTTCCCCTCGCGCTGCCCTTCGGTGATGGCTTTGACCTCGATAAGGCCACCATGATCCTCCGAAAGATGCTCCACTGCACATCGCAGCACGGCGAAGATGGCAAAGTCGAACCACGAGAAGCGGCGGAAGTACCGGGCGATGTTTGCACCAGCCAGGGTGTGGAGAATACCTGGCGTGTGCTGCAATGCTAGTGCCGCGCGGCTTGTTTCGAACTTTAGATGCCAGAAAGACATGTCCAAAAGCGGCCAACAAACAGCAGCATGAATAGTAATAAGAGCAAAGCTCAAAAAGCTGGTCAACTACCACAAAAACAAAAATGAAACTACTTTAGGGTGTTTCAAGCCAAATGCAGGAATCAATCTCCGAGTGCAACTCCCAGTTGTCCCAGCGGTTCTTCACCCATAAGGCATTGAAGCAGTGGAACACCTCGATCCTAGGCATCTTCGGGTTTTGGATGTCGTGGTTTGTCCTTTCAAGTAACCTTTAAGCCCAGACCCTGGCCCAAAAAAGTTTAACCTTTTCTTTGAGTAGGGTTTAATATACCAAAAAAAGTTTAAACTTTTCTTTTAGTAGGGGTTTACTATACCAAATGTTTAAAGTTTACCTATTGGGCTCCTACGAGTAAGTCGGCAGCCGAAAGGTGAAGAACGGATGCTGACATCATGCTCAAGTTCTGGGGTTCAGGAGGTTTAGGGTTTAGGGTTTAGGGTTTAGGTACAGCGGGGCTTGAAGACGAAGAGTGGGACTGGGGACAGGGGTGTCATCCTGTACACAAAATTCTGGGTTTAGGTAAGGGGCTTAGGGTTTAGGGATTTAGGGCTTAGGGGCTCAGGGTTTTGGGGCCTAGGGCTTAGGGTTTGGGGCTTAGGCGCAATCTATATCACGGACTGCTACTATGTCCTGCGCGGCCTTGTGAACTCGAAACGTGGAAGATACTTATGCCCAGGGTCCCAACAGCGGCAATGGCGACGGATCTCGAAAGGTCCGCTTCCGGAAGTGTCGCGCGAAAGCAGAAGGACGACGAAGAACATATGGAGGATGCCATGATGGCAACCACAACTGTAACAAGAATACCGGTAATAATAATCATCGTACTCATGGTAATGATTCAGATCAGTGCTTTCAGGTTTAGAGCGCGTGCTTCAGGGCCAAGGAGTCTTGCTGGGTTTGGCTACCTGGTCCATCTCATTCTGACTTATAAGACTAGCAGGGTGCGGCAATTTGAGGAGTCGTTTGACACTTGACGCTTCTATGTTGACGCCTTGCCGTGTGCCACCAGAACCTATTATACCCCTCGGCCGACACATGGTTGCTACTCCCACAAGTGAAACCCGAAATCCTACAGAGCAAGTCCGGCGATTCTTCTTTAGCCCTGCGACTCAAAATTGCCACAAAGACTGACATGGACAGTGTAGGGGCCTTAATAGTTAGAAGAGAGTTTTGGGGCATATTTTCTATAGTTACAAAAAATGCAAAAGGAACCCCCACAAAATCGCATGGCAATTAGTAAGGCCCCTGTATTAGTCTTTGGATGCCTCTGGGACCGCGCGATTCAGACTCCCAGGACGAAAAGCGTGCTGCATGCCGACGCGAAATCTAAAGTTCTGAGCCAAACGAGCCTTTTCAAGTCCCGACACTCTAGAGCCCAGTGTCCCTTGGCTACAGAATGTTACTCAGAACTGAGGAGTCATAATGTTGATGATATAAATCCTGCATTAAGATAAGGACCCTGAACTATGGGAATTATGGTATATTCCTTTCTATGGGTCATGCAGGATTTATATCATCAAGCGTATCAAGAAGCTCTATGCATCTTAAGGAAGCTTTCTTAGTCCAGGGTTGCCGGGTTCGCTCTGTTGAACTGTCGACCCAGCATAGCACAAGAACCCTCCAGCAGAATACTCAACTGAATCCGAGACCGAAACTCATTGAACAAGGATTCACAAACCCTAAACCCTAAACCCATAAAACCAAATTACCCGAGCCCCGAGCAGTTGCTAAGGCCCATCACGACCCTGGACGCTTCCTTCGAGTCCCGGGAACGGGCTGGTAGCCGAGATCGCTGGCGCGCCACCGATGGGCTGGGCACAGGAGGGCCAGATTCTTCAAGCAAGCGCTTTCCTTCTGGTGTTGCCATCTTCATGGATCCTACTTTATTCGAATCTACAACTCTTTCTGAGATTGCCACGGATTCTGAATTCGGCTTGGTTTCTGTGATTGCTAACAGACACCAATCCCTCAAGTTTGTCACTGGTGCCTAGCTTTCCGTGGCCGTGGTGATTACCTTGAGAGCCCAATAATCAAACCCGAACAGGATCCATGATGTAACCCCTGTATCAGATACGCTTCAATGCTGCTCAACACTCAGCCCCAAGTGCATCAGTCTCTGAGTGTTGCAATTATGGCGTTCATATCGCATTACTTCACGAAACCTGTTTCCAGAGTTTCTGTAAAGCTTTTTTAGTGGTGTAATCGGCAACTAAAACGAGCAAGTTCTTTTACAATACGAGTCAGGTTCAGCGAGTATAGTACATAATTATAGTACGACTCCGGATAAAGACAAAACTTGGGCTCAGGCCTGTGTTTTGTGTGTGTGTGTGTGAGTTTGTGTCTTTATCAAGGCCCTAAACTCTAAACCCTAAACCCTAAACCCCAAGGCTCGTGGGTTCAGAACGGGGGATTTTTGGACAAGGGCTTGCGGAGAGGAGTTGAGACAGCTTCGGGTATTAAGGCTAGGGCATTGTGTTTAACGCTGCGAAAGCCTTGGAGTTCAGGGTGTAGCGTTCAGGGTAACCCTAAACCCTAAACCCTAAACCCTAAACCCTAAACCCTTTAGGGGTTTAGGGACTTAGGGTTTGAGGGATAAGGGGTTCGGGTTTAGGGCTTTCGGGTTTTAGGGTTTAGGGTTTTAGGGTTAAGGGTTTAGGATTTAGGGTTTAGGGTTTAGGGTTTAGGGTTTAGGGGTTCGGGTTTAGGGTTGCGTCTTAAGAGTTTTTGGGTCTTGGGCCCATGGCTCAAACGGTCAAGAGCTTTCAAACCCTTGCATGGCTCACCTGCGTGCAGAGCTCGTTGAACTCATCTGAGAAGTACTCGATCTGCGATCCGTCCACCAGACCTTTGACATTGGATTTTGCATGACAAACGATTGTCTTGCGCTGGACCCCAAACCCTAAACCCTACACCCTGAACCCAAAACCCAAAACCCTACACCCTAAACCCGAAACACTAAACCCTAAACCCCAAACCCGAAACGCTAAATCCTAAACCCTAAACCCTAAACCCTAAACCCTACATCCTAAACCCAAAACCCTAAATCCTAAACCCTAACTAAACCCCAAACCCCAAACCCCAAAACCCTAAATCCTAAACCCTAAACCCTACATCCTAAACCCAAAACCCTAAATCCTAAACCCTAACTAAACCCCAAACCCCAAAACCCTAAATCCTAAACCCTAAACCCTAAACCCTTAACCCTACATCCTAAACCCAAAACCCTGAATCCTAAACCCTAACTAAACCGTAAACCCCAAACCCCAAAACCCTAAATCCTAAACCCTAAACCCTAAACCCCAAACCCCAAAACCCTAAATCCTAAACCCTAAACCCTAAACCCCAATCAGACCACCTCCTTTGGCCTGATCCTTGAATTTCTGCCTGTTTTGTGGCTTACCTCTTCTGTGGCTGGGATCATAGGGTTGAGAGTTTAGGGGTTTAGGGGTTTAGGGTTTAGGGTTTTAGGGGTTTAGGGTTTAGGGGTTTAGGGGTTTTTTAGGGTTTAAGGTTTAGGGTTTATCGCATAAGGACGCCAGGGTGGCCCAAAACCTGAAACTACTTTCGAGAGTTGAGCTGCCTCCCAAGCCCCAGCCCCCATCTTCCACCGGGAAGCTCAAGACGGGTTTAGGGTTTACCCAAAGTAAGGGTCCAAAGCACCCAATAATGAGGAACTTTGGTTGCGGATAGTAATTATCTAGGTTAATATTTGGGAGAGTATATGATTATTAGGTACTTAGACCCTTAGGGTTAGGGTTTAGGGGCGGCCCGCGTCATATCTACAGACCTACTGTAACAACCTCGCGCCTGATCGTGTAGGAAGGACGTGGAACGAAAATGTCTAGGATTACTGAATAAGTCGGGCTTGTCCCTTCTGCAGGTTTTGTTAAGGTCTTAGCAATTGCTTTGCAAAATTCTCGGTAGGGCTGCGCAATGCGTTCCACATTGACGGCATCTTCCGTGGAGTTCCCGTCGCTAACATTGTGGTGTATCACAGCTTTTCATTGTTATCGCGTAAGACGGTATACTCTAGTGTGCTGTAGTATTCTAATGAAGTATACTATGACCTTTTGTACTAGAGTATAGTAGTCAACGTGGGCTCCAGACCCAACAAACGACCCGGCCTTTAGCGTTGAATCTCCAAGTCAGGTCCAAGACACGGATGTGTGAGGCGTAACCCTGCGGGTCGCGGGTGAAGGCCTGTCGGGGGTAGACGCCACGAACAGAAGGGTTCAGGGTTTAGGGTTTACGGTTTAGGGTTTAGGGCTTGGCAAAAGAGTTCGAAAAAGGGACCTCAAATGTACACCCACCAGATTTCCAACGGAGCCCTCTACCCATCGACGATTCTGATACTTTCGGCACCTATATCAACGAAAGCCCACGCGCCCCATGCCTAGGTCAAAAGCACCCTGATTCATTACATCATCGAGGGTTCTTGTTGCAGCAGAGTGGTGGAGGGTGGGGGAATAGGCTTGGCATGTGCTTCCTACTTAAAGGGTCGGGGGACCTAGTAAGTAGTGATAAGTAGACTTATAAATACTCTAAAAGGGACCCTTATTGGGGTTATGATACTTATAAGTCTATAAAATACTTACTTACTAAGTCCCCCGACCCTCCAAGTAGGCTACTAGGGTACTTCTACTCTTCTGCTAAAGCCCCAGGGTCCTCTGAGGGTTTAGGGTTTAGGGTTTAGGGTTTAGGGTTTAGGGTTTAGGGTTTAGGGTTTAGGGTTTAGGAGATGCGGAGTTGACGGACTTTTGCCATGGCCCGAACCCGAAAACCCACAGTACGTCTACTTGGAGCGTCGGGGGACTTAGTAAGTAGGTATTTTATAGACTTATAAGTATCATAACCCCAATTAGGGTCCCTTTAGAGTACTTATAAGTCTACTTATTACCTACTTACTAAGCACTGCCTGTTCAACACATCAAAGAACCAAGAAGATACCGAGTAGGCAGAGTTATTAGCAAGTCATGAACAACTCAACTGACATCCCAAAATCCTAAACCTTAAACCTTAAACCCTTATGACTCCAGGCGCATCTACTTAAGGAGTTCCCTGATCCTTAACATGTCCTCGTCCGCCCTGTAAACTTGAGAGTGTTTTCGGGTGGGTTTAGGGTTTATTCTGCTACATTGGTAACAAGGAACTCTTGAGAGCAGTATTGTTAA